GGGGTCCATAATTACATGTTAAACAAACTCCAATTATCTCAACCCTGCCTGGGGCTTTTGCATTGGCTGTTCCCTCAGCCTGTAGTGTGCTTCCCTCAGGTATTCACCTGCCTCACCCCCTTACCTCCTCGGGTCTTGGGGCAAACGTCATCTTCTCAGTGAGGCCTTCCCTGAACAACCTATTTTAGATGACTACAGGACCTCTCCCGCCCCCGGCCCTCCTCTAGCCTATTCTCTGCTGGATTTTTCCCCCAGCATTCACTACTGTCTGACGTCCTTTGTTGTACTTATGCGTAGTATATGTTCTACCTGTGTCGTACTTATCTAAGTAGGTTAGTATCTGCATCTCCCACTGGATGGACGCTCCACAAGGGTCTACATTTCTGTATCGTGTTTTCTGCCGTAGCCCCAGCACCTGGAACAGAACCTGGAACTCAGCAGGCGTTTAATAAATCTCATTTACGGCATGGACCAGTCTCTCGGGCCTCTCTCTGAGGTGTTGCCTTCTTCTTCCACCAGAGGGCAGTCTCGCTCTGTCTCGCTCTACTTCTTCCGTCATTGGCGCAACGATCATCTCCGAGGTTTAGTGCGTAGCATAATACACGCTATAACCGCTGCCTTGCTGGGTCTCCTCTGTGAGGGTCACTGCGGGGTGCCCTTTCCATACCTGAAGCTCCCTTCCTCTCAGCTCCCCCTCCACTGCCGCCAGGGGGCAGTCTCGTTCTATTATATTCCTGATCAGACGCTCCGGGATGAGGTTCACCAAACCCGGTCTTTCATTCCTTCCCTCGCTCACTCAGTAAATGTATATTGAGCAGCTACTGCGGGCAGGGCACTAGGCTCGGTGCTGGGGATACAGCAGAGGACAGGACAGACCAAACTTCCCGCCTCCAGGGAGCTGCCTTCCCAGCCGCTGCGGTGACTGAGAGTTTTGCTGGTTCTCACCTCCACGCTCACTCTCCCCTCCTATTACCAGGGAAAGAGCCTCAACCGCGTTTCCCAGGTTCCCTTGTCAGCTGCTGCTGCGGATTCTTGCCCATGGGGGATGCTGGCGGGAGTCAGAAAGCTGAGGAAGGCAGACGCTATAAGAGGCTGGTGGAGTTGTGGCAGGTCTCCAGCCCGTTGCCTTCGAGTCCATTCCAACCCATAGCGACCCATAGTCGCCAACTGCTTGTGCTCAACTGCTAACTTAAACTACTAACATAAAGGTTGGCAGTTCTAACCCACCCAGCAGTGCTGCTGAAGAAAGGCCTGGCGATCTGCTTCCGTAAATAGTACAGCCAAGAAAACCCTGTGGAATAGTTCTACTCTGTAACACATGGGGTCGCCAGAAGTCGGAATGGACTCGATGGCAACGGGTTTGTTTTGCGTTTGTTTGTTTTGGAGTTGCGGCAGCAGTGAGCAGCAACAGCAGAAAACCAGTTTGGGCTCCTGGGTGCCTCCCTAGGTACCTCAGCAGCACAGAAACCTGGGCCCTGGGCAGCTGCATTTTCCACATTGCTCTTCCAGCCTTGGTGGGGGTGTGGGGGAGGGGTGGTAGCAGCTGCATCACTAATCTTTGGGTAAACTGGCCTTGTCTTTCTTGCACTTCCTGCCTGCAATAGCCTTTGTCACCAATTCCCTCTATGAAAACCCCTCACAAATAGAGGTGGTACGCTATTTACAAAGAGCTAAGCAAAATGAGTCAAAATCGACTAGACAGCAATGGGTAAGTAAAACACAGTGTGTCTGGTGGCAATCAGCCCTCTGAAAAATAAAGCGAGGATGTGTGTGTGTGGTAGGGGGTATTACATGAAGGGAAGGACTGAGCACTGCATATCCTGGGGGAGGGCTCTCCAGGCAGAGGGAGCAGCAAGTGCAAAGGCCCTGGGGCAGGAACACGCTTGCTGTGACACCTGAACAGCAAGCAGACCTGGGTGGCTGAAGCCACACGAGACTTGGAGAAAGGAGTAAGAAAAGAGGTGGAGAGGTCAGATGGGGACAGAGTGTGTAGATCAGCTCGGTCCAATAGAACTTTCTGGGGTGATGGGAATGTCCTATATCTGCTCTATCCAATATGGTAGCACCTGCCTCACGTGGCTCTTGAGCATTTGAAGTGTGGCCAGTAGTGTGACTGAGAAAATTTTTAACTTTTTTAATTTCATGTAAATTGAAAGCACCCATGTGGCCAGTGGCTATTGCATTGGACAGACTTGTCTAGACCATTGTAAGGACTTTGATTTGACCTTTGGTATCATAGGAAATCATTACAGGATTCAGGAAGGGGAATGACTTGATTGGAGGTGACTTCTGAGAGACCGCACAGGTAGCCATGTATTGGGGGTAGGGGCAAAGGCAGGGGCAGGGAAACCAGGTAAGTGTGGAGGACCCTATGTCTGGGGTCCAGGGCAGAGGTTGTGGGCAGGAGATGGAAAGGTGTCTTGGGGTCCAGCATGGGAGCTCAGGGTTGAAGGTTAAGGAGCAGAGTCAAAAAAGCCCAGGTGGGCACCTGGGTGAGCTTGGATGGAGGTAGAGTTGGCTGAGCCTCAGGTGGGGGGCCCTAGGTGAGGTGCGGTTAGGGGGCTGGGGCAGGGGTGAGGGTGATGACTCAGGCTGGGGCCTGGTGAGGTATAGCTGGGTAGAGACTAGGACAGGGGGCTGGAGACTGGGGCAGGGACCAGACTTAGGTTCAGGGGAGGGAGGTGGGCAAGGGGCCACGATAAGGGGTGAGGGACCTGGAGAGCACAATTGGATAGAAGCTGGGAAAAGGGTTTAGGGAAGCGAGCTAGGGAAGATGTGAGGCTGGGGCCTGGGAAGATATAATTGGGAAGAGGATCAAGACTGTGCCCTAGGGGTAGGTAGGAGGGGGTAGAGGTCAGGGCCTGGCAGAGGGCATCTGGGTGGGGGCTCAGACAGAGGGCTAGGCTGAGCTGACACTGCATTTATAGTTAGCCTAATAAGAGAGGGTTGGGCTGGGGTTATAGCCCACAGGGGACCCCAGGAAGTACTCAGGGTATCCAGGCATATCTAAGAAACAAAGGACTGGGCATTAACAGCGGGGGAGGGTTGGGAGGGTGGGCTAGGTGAGGCCAGGCACTGGGGAAGGGGGAGGAAAGCCAGATGGGGCAGAAGCACCTGGGTGAGGACCCCAGGAGGGAATGAGGGTAGTTGTTTAAGGGCCCAAGGCTTGGGTACTAGAGGTAAGGAAGGGGCTGGGAGGGTGGGCTAGGCCCAGGCCAGCTCTGGGTGAGACGGTGCTGGGTGGGCAGGGGCTGAGACCTGGCAGGGGCCACTGGCACTGAAGCAGTGAATGATGCTCGGTGTGACTCAGCAACAGGCAGTCCCTGGCGGTCTGGCCCAAGTCAACCCTGCAGGGGGGCATCCATTGCCCATCCTCCCACCCCCCCACTCTGATCCCCCAGAGATGGCGAGACCAGAACCAAATGCTGAATTCCACTTTACTGAGGGTCCAAGATGACACAGCACACAAGGAGAGGAACCTACGAGGGCGACGGGAGAGTCACACGGGGCCTTCCCTATGTGATGCCTCTGCCACTCAGGATAGGAGCTTCTTCCACAGCTCATCACAGTATCCCCGATGGATGCGGGGGTGGCTCCTGTGCCGGGGGTGGTGGGGTCCCAGCGTGGGGCAGGCTCCATCTCCGGATCTGCACCTGGGTGTCCCCGATGGCACTCGGACAGTCCAGTTGGAGGCCCAGGATGCGCAGGGCCTCTGCTCCTTCTGAGGGATGCCAGAAGGGCCTCTGGGCAGGATCAGGCTCATCACTCCTGGGGATGAAACTGGGACACACACACACACACACACACACACACACACACACACACACACACGCCCCGAGGGACAAAGGGACTGGGGAAGGGCTCCGGTGGAGGTTGCTACTGAGGGGACACACAGCTTGGCAGGGGGCCGGCCGACAAGTCACACATGGGACAGACACGGGCTGAAGCGTCAGCACAGGGACAACGGGATGCTCCTCCCACGAGGACACTTCCTCCCCAAAGACAGACACCGGACACCAGACACCGATGGGGCTCTGACACCAAGGCTCCACCCCTCACAGTGCCTCCCCAGTGTCATTCACTCAGGTGGGACCCTCATCCTCCTAAGTGGGAGGGCAAAGGCAGCACTACAGGGCCAGATGGTCCTGGGACTAGAGGGTGGGGAAGCTGTGGGACACAGAAGGTCTCGCCTGTTGTGGGGAGCCAGCTTAGACATCTGGATTTGTGTGAACGGTCCTAAACTACTGAAAACGTTGGCAAATATCAGAAATTTGGAGAAACGCTGTGCGGTCAGCCTGGGTGTCAAATTCAGCCTGGGGACACCCAGCAGGGTCCTCACCTGTCAGGAGGGTTCATGTGTCAGCATCAGAGGTGTCTCACAGTCGGGGCTGGGCATGCCTCTTTCTTCTTCCTCCTGATCCTCCTCATTCTCTCCTCCTCCTCCTTCCCTGCCTCCTCCTCCCCTTCCTCCTCCTCCCCCTTGCCTCCCCACCTCTCCTCTCCCTCCCTTCTCTTCTCTTTCTCCAGTCATCTCATCTCCCAGGTTGGGGGTTCAGCCTTCAGTGCTCAGCAACACCCTGACACCAGATGCCCACTAGGCACAGCCCAGCCCCATCAGATGGGGGGACGGTGTCCTCGCGATCTAGGCCAGCAAAGCCATAAAGAAATCACTGCACTGCCTGCCCACAGGCGGCCGGTGTCCCAGGACACACTCATCCTCTGCCACCGGGGGGGGGGGGCCCACCACGGCGACCTAAGACACCCTCCCATCACGTGGGGCGTCCCTTCCTCCTTTCCTTCCTCTGGAATTGCACCGGGCCTCTCTCTGGACATCTGCAAACGGGGGGACTAAAAGGTACAGGTGAGCACCAGCGACACAAGGCACAGGAGCGCAGAGCAGGACACGTGAAGCGAGAAGACACCCAGCTGGAGAGGAGGAGGAGCGAGGGAGGAAGGCGCACAGTGCGGGGTCTGCTCGGCCTCCGCGGCTTTGGCTTCCACTAGCGGCACTTGCGGGGCAGCCTGCGGCCCCGACGCGCCTTCTTCCCGCGGGCAGACCCGGCGCCGGTGGGCGGCTGACCCTTGGCCTCGCCCGCCTTCGCGTGGGGCCCCGAGGCAGGATTCGCCTGCTTCTTTTTGCTCCCTGCGCCATCCCCGGCCTTCTTCTCGGGAGTGGAGACCCGGCCGCGGCCTCGGCCCCCTGCTCGGCGCCCTGCTCGGGGTTTGCGAGCCCCGGCGGGGGTGGGGGTGGGGGTGGCGGAGGCGGACGCGCCGGTCTGGCCCAGGCTCCGGGCCGCCGTGCGCGCCCTCTTGGCCCGTGGCTTCCTGGACGCCCTCTCCTCGGGCCCGGACTCCTCGCTCTCCGTGTCCTCAGACCCCTCGGACTCTTCATCCTCCTCCTCCTGCTCAGACGCCGACTCCTCGTCCGACTCCTCCTCCGATTCGACGATCTCCCGCGCAGCCAGGAGCGCCAAGACCTCGCCCAGGTTGCCTTTGGCGTATCTGTACTTCTCGCATTCCCAGGCGCTTCCTTTTCCCTCCTTCATCACCTCCGCCATGTCTTGTGCGGCCAGGAGTGCCACCAGTTCCAGGAGGCCCCCCTCATCTTCATCATCACCGCCCCAGCCGCTGAGGAAGCCACGTGGGGCCTTCTTCCCCTTGGAAGGGGTCTCCGGCTCGGCCAAGGTGGAGATGCATTCCAAAAGGTTCCCGTTGTCTTCGGCTTTCCGCAGGACCATGGCGTCCACCTCTCGACCAGCCTCCTCCACCTTCACGCGGGTGCCAGACGTGTCCTTGGACATGACAGACAAGACCTCAGAAAGAGCCTCCTTTTTGTCCTTCTTGTCACTCCAGCCCAGCGACTCGACCACAGATGCGATTTTTAACATCTCCTCCCGGGCAGAGGGGTCTGAGGGGTCAGTGTAGGCCACGATGGCCACAAACTCCGGGTTGTCCGCCTCCTCTGTTTCTTGGTCCTCGGTGTCCTGGGACTCGCTTTCGGAAGTGTCACTGTCCACGGGCTCCTCATCCGATGTTTCTCTCACGGCCAGGAGCGCCACCAAGTCGGGGACACCATTCCTGTCTTCTTTGATGTCCAAGTTGGTGGACTCGGCCGACGGCGGCTCTTTCTCTGTCTCCTCCTTCTTGGCTTTGTCTGTCACGGTCACCAGGGCCAAGAACTCGCGAGGCCCATCTCCCTCCTCAGCACCGTTCTGGACCGCCCACTTCTTAACGAGCTCCTTGGCGGCGGCCTGGAGCGTGGCGTACAGCGCTCTCTGGTCCTCGTCTTCGTCCTCCTCAATCTCCTCGATGACGATGCCCAGGCTCTCGTCGGAAGAATCCTCAGACTCGCTCCTCACCAAGGTGGACGGCCGCCCTCCTCGGCCCCTCTTCTTGCCCCTGTTGCCTCTGGCTCTACTTCCTCGGCCCCTCCGGCCCCTCCTAGCCTTCCTGGCTGCACTCGGAGGCGGCCCGGCCTTCCTGGCCGCCTGCTCCAAGCCCTGGGCCAGAGTCTCCGGAGCAGGAGGGGTAGGCGTGTCCCCGGGGGCCTTGGTCACTTGGGCGCGCGCGGGCCTCTCATCCAGTAGCAAGCGTTTCATCTGCCTCAGGACTCGGGGGTCCTCTGCACGGTCCTTACACAGCACCCTCCACACCCCGTTCTGGCCCGGGATCTCCCGGGGGATGGCCGCGTGGTCAACGTCCTCCACAAACTCCACCAGGGCGGCCTTGGCCTTCTCCTTCCTCACCCGCCTCGTGCTGCGCAGCCTGAACGCGCCCACGGCCAGGAAGGCCGGCTGCAGGACCGCCTCGACGGCCGCCTGCTCCAGGCCCTCGGGGATACCGGTGACCAGCAGCGCCCGGCGCACGTCCACGCCCAGCCCGCGGCACCAGTCCTCCAGGAGGCTCAGGGCCATGGTGCCGCGGCTCGGCGCCGATCTGGGCAGCGAGGAGCCGGCGGGCGGCCGCGGGCGCAGCGCGCTCCAGATGCCACCCGGAGCGCCACCTGCAGGCTGAGAGTGGAGACGCAGGTGATCAGGGCAGGGGCGGGGCTGGGGCGCCCGCGGCCCCTCCCCAGGCTGTCCCGGACCCTCGGGGGGCTTACGTGTCTGCGCTCCGGTCGGGCCCCAGGGAGGTGGCAGCCCGCCTCCGAGCGGAGTCCCTGGGGAGCAGCGATGCCCTCCCGCTGGCCTTTGTCACTGCCCCAGGCGCGCTGGGCGCGGCACCTCCGCCAGGTGCAGGGCGAGGGCGGCGCTGCCGGCCTCTGAAAAGGCGCCGGGGGTGGGAACCGCCGCTCGCCCGCCGCTCCCGCCGCGACTGTGCACACACTCCGCGGCGAAAATCTCAGCAGTTCCGCTGCGACGAGACTGCGCAGCCCGCGCCTGCGCGGACGGCTCTCGCCCCCACGCCAGCTAGTCCCCGTCTCCATAGCAACACTGCAGGCTGGAGAGGGATCCGCGTCTGTGTGGCCTGAGTACCTGCTCTTAAAGTGTGGGATGGAAATAAGACTCCTTCGCCGGGTACAGGCTCATTCTGTGTATACAGACCTCATTTCTGGGGTACAGGCTTATCTGCGTATACAGACCTCATTCAATGGGGCCAGGCCTCACTACCATGTATGTTCCTGTATTTGTCATTATACAGGTACATGGAAACCTGCTTTCGTGTAGGTGGTTTGCATGTGTGTATGATCATCAGGGAGATCAGACTTGAATTCTTCAACTAATCGGCGAACTGGTACACGTGAATGTCGTCGCTACTCTAAACACACATTCGCTTCACCATCCTTTGTTCAACTCTCTAACTGTCCCCCCTCTATGGAAATCAGGCGAGCGGAGGGGTTTATGTCCCATTTCTACCGCTTCCTGCCATGACGCCGACAAGTCGCTGAGCTTCTCTACGCCTCAGTTTCCTCCTCTGCGAAACGGCGATAACCACTGTCCCGACCTCATAGGATTCTTACGGGGATTGAAGGGGATAATCCATGACGACGCTTAGAAGAAAGCCTAGCTCATGGTCAGTGTTTCATAAAAGGTGGCTAAGAGAAATATTTATCGAGAACTTATTACAGTAAAACCTGCGAAAGTAGGAACCTGTGTAAGGCGTAAACCTGCCAGAGAAGGAAAACTCAAATATTTTCTACTAATAGCGAAGGAAAGGGGTAAGACTGTACCCTGTCAAAGGCGGAAAACTTGCGAGACCCGGAAGAACAAGGCAGTCTCATCGAGTTCCGGCTCTCACAGGTTTCACTGCATTATAGAAGCGTTTGTTGGATGGATGGATGGATGAATAGATAGATAGATAGATGATTGATAGATAGAAAATCGAAAAAACCTCAGGTGTTTTTTACATAGGAAGAGAGTTTATATTGCAAAGTTACCATGGCAACTCTGCCAGAACAAATTGCTTACTCACTCCCCTTCCCTCTCTTTCTCTCTCTCTCTGCAGCTCTTAATTTCCCTGCTGTCTAATAGAAATACAGTTGAGCCCCAAATGTGAGCCACAAACCTCCACTGACAGATGGGTGGTGGCTGTGCGTGAGGTGCGTCGGCCGGGAATCAAACCCAGGCCTCCTGCATAGAAGGCGAAAACTCTACCACTCAACCACCACTGCCCTCTCTCCTTTTCTTACGTCTCCTTAATCCACATTTATTCATGAAAAAGATCTGTCTTCATTCCATTTTCTGGCTGTTCTGTCCCCCGTAGGGAGCCCTCATTCATTCCTTTCCTGGTGGCGGGCATTGGGGACCTCAGCTGTGTGGAGACGCTGTCCCAGAAGCCAAGTTGAGAATTACAGACCCTTACAAACTCCCAGAAGACGGGCTTGGCATGCAAGAAGCTGACGGTCTCCATGGAATTGCAGAAGCTCCAGGTCGTGGGGTCAGGACAGGCCTTGAACCCCTTACCCCATGAGCAAATGACTAGGGACCGGAGCAGCCAGGCAGGGCACCCCAAAATGTCCTGCTCGACCCCTCTGTGTGCCTCTGCCCTGGAGTCATGATCCCCACTTGGACCAACTGAGATGGGACTGGTGACAGACGAGCCTAGCCACTCTCTCCCAAGGAACCATGGAAACAGTTTCCCATGGAAACAGCTGGAGAAAAGGCCACGTACAATGTTTTGCAAATTCTTCTCCCCCTCCCCGTGTTTGAGGAAGAATAAAACAGAGGGGGGAAGGCTGCTTGTTAACTGGTAATGGCAATATTAGTCGAGGGGAGTTCACAAAGGATTGCGCATGGACCCTCAGAGGTCCCCGAAACCCATTCAATGGGGTCAAAAACATGTCTGTAATAACGCTAAAACATTATTTGCCTTTTTTCACCCTCATTCTCTCACAAGTGTTCCGTGGAATTTTCCGGAAGCTGCAGGACACGTGATATCACAACTGACCCAATGCAGGAGCAGCTTCGAGGATCTAATTGTCTTCTGTTGACTCAAACATTAAAGCTCCATCCTGTTGCAGTAGAGTGGATTCCGACTCATAACGACCGTATAGGAAGAGTAGAACTGCCCCACAGGGTTTCCCAGGCTGTGATCTTTGCAGAAGCAGACTGCCCCATCTTTCTCACACAGAGAGCCTGGTGGGTTCGAACCACTAACCTGTCGGTTAGCAGCTGAGTATTTAACCACTACGCCACCAGGGCTCCTTTGGTCATTAAAGAGATTTGCAAAAACGTAAAACAACGCCACTGTTTTTACTGAATTCTTTTTTTGCATGTGTGGTGAAAATATACACAACAAAACCCAAGACTATTCAACCACCTCCACACGCACAATTCAGTGAGGTTGACTACATTCAAGTTGTGCTCTCATTCTCGCTATCCGTTTCCAAAATATTCCACCACCACTAACATAAACTCAGTGCCCCCTAAGCAAACCCCCCCACCCCTGGTAACCATTCATAATTTTTGGTTTTTGGTTGCTACATATTTGCTTAAGGAGCCTTGGTGGTGAAAATGGTTGAGTGCTCTGCTGCTAACCAAAAGGTTGGCGGTTCCAACCCACCGAACAACTCTAGGGGAGAAAGACCTGGCGATCTACTCCCTGAAAGATTACAGCCTAGGAAACCCTATAGGGCAGTTCTGTTCTGTCATATGGGGTTGCTATGAGTTGGAATCGACTCAGGCACCCAACAACATATATTTATTTCGTGTAAGTGAGATCATACAGTATTTGTCCTTTCGCAATTGACTTATTTCTCTCAGTGTGATGTTTTCAAGGTTCAGCCATGTTGTGGCGTGCACCGGGACTTCATTTCTCTTTCTGGCTGAGAAGTATTCCAGTAGGAGCCCTGGTGGTGCTGTGATTAGGCGTTTGCCTGCTCACCGAGGTTTGAACCTACCAGCTGCTCTGCGGAAGAAAGACGTGGCAGTCTACTTCCATGAAGATTTACCATCTTGGAAACCCTATGGGGCAGTCCTACTTTGTCTTACAGGGTTGCTATGAATTGGAATCGACTCCATGGCAATAGGTTTCATTAAGATGTTATTTACAAGAACATGTAACATGCGCTTAACATTGCTATTTTAAAATGAGTTAATAAATTCTTTTCATTTCTCCATTTAAATGCCTAATATGGTAAACATCAACAGATATAACCCACATCAACAAAAGCTCTTTGAGGTCCTTGATAAACTTTTTTTTTTAATTTCCTGGTGATTTTTTTTATCGTAGTGCAAATCTACCCAACAAAACATTCACCAATTCAACAGTTGCTACATGCACATTTCAATGACATGGATTATACTCTTCATGTTTTTGCAAACCTTATTCCTATCTTCTTCCTAATTATTCTACTGCCAAAGAAAAACTCCTGCTTCCCCCTCCTTCTCACCCTTGGTAACCACTAACTACTTTTGTGTGTGTGTGTGTGTGTGTGTGTGTGTGTGTGTGGTGAAAATACACCCAGCAAAATATTCACCAGCACACCTGCCACATGTACAATTCAGTGACATCAATTCCATTTTTCAAGTTGTGCATCCATTCTCACTGTCCTTTTCCAAATGATTTCACCACCATTAACATAAACTCAAGGTTCCCCAAACACAAGCTCCGCCTTCCTGCCTCCCGCCCGCCCCTGGTAACCACTAAAAATCTTTGGTTTCTCTGTGTTTGCTTATTTCTTTTAAGAGAAATGATACAGTCTTTGTCCTTTTGAGACTGACTTATTTCACTCAGTATGATGCTTTCAAGGTTCGTCTACACCGTGGTAGTTTTTCATAATTTAAGAGGGCCTGAGACCAAATAGGAGCCCTGGTGGTGCAGCGGTGAAGAGCTCAGGCTGCTAACCAAAAGGGTGGCAGTTTGAATCCACAAGCGGCTCCTTGGAAACCCTATGGTGCGGTTCTACTCTGTCCTGTAGGGTCACTGAGTTGGAAGCGACTCTTCGGCAGCAGATTTGGTTTTTTTCTTTGTTTGGTTGAGTGGCTGAAGCCAAAAAGTTGGAGAATCACCACGTTAGAGAATAGAAAAGCCTATCTCCTGCCGCGGGCCCCCCAATAAGAAAAAGATTTTTTTCCTTTTGTTATTTTTGGAGGGGTTGATTTTCCCTGGTCGGGTTATAACTGAATAGTGGGAGTTTAGTGTATGGCCGGATCGCCTCACTCCACTGTCTTTCTGCTCCGCTCTCCTCAGCCTCTCCAGCCTCGTTGCCAGGGAAACCAAATCAGTACATCCTCAACGCAAAATTAATTTAACTCCCTTGTGCCTGGGTCGTGACGGCGGGCATGCCTTTCAGAACATTTGTATCCAGGGAGCTGCTGATTCCACCCGTTCCAAGAACTTAAAAATGCCCTTCTATATCCTCTTTCTCTTCTCCGATTCCTCCCTCATCCTGGGCAACTCTTCTGACTTTTATTTATTTAGTTACTTTAATATCTGTCCTTTTATTTTCAAGCATTTTTGCAAAATACGCTTC